ATCAATTCGGATGCGAACTTTCATGACTATTTTATATCCAAGAGAAATTGTATTAGAGTCGTAGTCAATATAATTCCCAATGAAGTTCCCGAGCAACTTGGCCATTTTTTCGACATAAAACCTAGAGGCACCTCATGATAAGTACCCAAAAATCCACATAATGCAACAGAACAACCATAGGATCTTCCCCCTCTTTTAGGCGATGAAGAACGAGTAAATGTGATTGAAATTCCACATACTACCTTTTTTTATTATACGGTCAACGCCAATCACATGGTATAAACAGAATAAAAAGCGTCAATCGCCTAAATCAAAGATAGTAATGCTCCTTATCTGACGCCAGATATTCACCAAAGTTGCTTTCATGGATTAGAAGTTTACGATGCTTATCGTAAGAAAGGATTCAACAAAACAATGAACAAAAGAGATAGGCGCCTCAGTTCCTTCTGAATCAATCTGAATACCTTTATCTTCTTCGTTGTCTATGACAAGTTTTTCCATTTCTTGAGTCACATCGGCCATTAAAGAAGAGAAAAAAGTGGGAAAGAGCAAGACAAAGTAAAAAAGAAAGAAAAAAAACCAATACGTGCTACATGAGTTGGGGCTGTAAATGAGACGAGACAGATCGCGAGCTACTCGAGATCGACTCGATCAAGGCTCGATAAATACTCGGATCGAATGGATTCGACTCGAGCTCGACTCGAGTTCTTAACGAGCTGAAACAAGCTACTCGATATTCGACTCGAAAAGCTCGTGAGCAACTCGAAAAAAATGTTATATTATAATTTTAGATTTTTAAAAATTATATTATTAAAAATACACTATTGATAATTATAAAATTTTAAAAATATATTAAAAATTCTATAATACAACTACCCTCAAATTTTAATTTTTTTAATTAACTAGCCCAAGTTCAATTGTTACATTGTATATTACTAAAAGAAAAATAAAAGCCCATATAATTAAGCACATGTTAGATTACACGTGTTTTGTTGATTTTTTCTTTCTTTTTTAACTTTTTACTGCACAAACACTTGACAAAGTAGAAAAATAAAATAAAAAAAATAAGAAAAAAAAGCCAAACAATAAAAAATTTGAAAATGGTTAAAAATTATTTTTAAATAAATATTCTTATATTTATTTTAAATTAATAAAACAATATTTATCTAATGACAAATATTTAATATATTTCTAATGATAATATTTTTAATAACTAATTTTTTAAATTATTATTATATTTTTTAGGTTTCGGGTTCAAATATCATAAATATCAAGGGTTTGAGCATTTAATATCAGGATACTATATTGTACTTACCTCATAAATCGGTACCAAGTCGATTAATTAATGTCTTTGTAATGAATCATAAACCCTAAACCTTAAATCCTAAACCATTATCTTTTCATTTATGCAGCCACATAATTCGAAATATTAAATTCTTTTATTGTCTTCTAGGTTTTAAGAGGTGGCAGATTAATTTGAATAGACTCGTATCGTACATATGATTTTGATGGGTGCGTCTCCTGACATAGAATTTTTGTATATGCAAGGATTTAAACTTGAAATTTTACTTAAAGCACTTGAAACAAAAATATTAATTTTTGGTAACATACATTTGAAGATATGAATTTTCGTTTACATACTATATAAGTTGCATTACTAAAAAAATGAATAAATTAAAATAAATAAATTAAAATGCATACTACCGCTTACTTATTTCAATCTTAAAATATAAATCCCGAAATAAATACTACAGTCTACCTGGAACATGCTGAAAAACTAAAATGCAACAGGCCAACTTGTTCTACCTGTAATCAACTACTGCTATATCTTCTCCTTCTTCAACTCAAATATTTGACAATAAAGCTACCAAATTTCATCTTCCATTAGCTCACATTTCTCTGTTAAACACAACACAATCATAACGCAAAAGTTCTTTATGTTTTTATTCCGTCGTCCATGGTCGTTTCTCCTAGAGTTCTCCCGCTAAGAAAGCAGCGGCCGTCACCATCTCCGACATTAGAAGACTTAAACCTGATCAATTCTCTTCTTTCTTTGTCGCAGGAAATCTCGACCCTTAAACCTCTTCAATGCCTTCTAATTCGAAAGTTGCAATCTTATTCAAAGAGCTTCTTCGAGATTCAGTTTCTAACGTCTTTTTCACTCCTTCAACACTCCCCTGCTTCGAAGAGATGTACATTGTTTTACAGAGAACAAAAGCTTTGATCGAAGATTGTTCCAATGGAAGCAAGATGTTGATGCTCATGCAAATCTCACATTTGGCCAACAGTTTCCACGAGCTCACCCTCGAATTATCAACCGTCCTCGACATTTTCCCTGTCGAAGAATTTGATTTGAGTCAAGACGTGGAAGAACTCGTCGTTTTGCTCCAAAAACAGTGCTCCAAATCAAAACCATGGGTAGATCTCATAGACGATTCTCTCATGCGAGATGTTTTAGCATTGCTCGATCTGGTTAAGGAAGATATCGTCCCGGATCATTTGAAGCTCAAACAGATCTTTGAGGATTTAGGATTAATCGTTGATTCAAGTTGTAGGGAAGAAATTTCGAGTCTCCAACAAGAAATCCAGAACCAAATCGCTGACAAATCCAACTCGGAGATTGTTTCTTTGAGTAAAGAGGGATTTTATGCCGAAGCAATATCAAGTGCAATATCAAGTGCATGAGTGGACTACTTATTTGGCATTATAAATAAAAGACAGTTACCTCCTCTTAATAAGTGGGTGAGTTTGAACTGAAAATCGAGATTTAATCGAGTTTCAATTGAACTGGAGTCTCGAGCTTCAATAGAGCTCTTGAAATTTTTTGAGTTTGAATCTTTTTGAGTTTGAGTCGAGTTTTAATATTATATTTCGATTTCGAGCTGAGTTTGATAATTTTTAGTTTGCAAGTTTTCAAGTCGAGTCGAGCTTAACTTTAAAGTTTTCGAGTTTGAGTCGAGTTCAGCAATACTTGAGTTTGACTCGGCTCGTTTATACTCTTAACCTGAGTAGAGAGAAAACGTGACACCTGAGCAAACAATTTAAACGCATAATTTTTTTTAAAAGTGATGTTTTGTTAAAAAAATATATTTTGAGTCTATAAAATTCAATTGTGACGGTTTAAGATGGATTGGAAAAGTAATAAACTTTTGTAAGAAAATATCTCAACTCATAAATGTTTGGATTCATCTAAAAATTTATCGTTAACCTGCTAATGCTCGAGTTTTGAAAAAACAAATTTAATTTTTTTATTAAAATGAATTGTTTAACCCATAAGATCCGGAGTTGGAACAAACACATATTATGTGATTTTAGCTGAGACATCGGGTGTTGAAACCGGATCTGAGCACCGTGTTCATCCCCACATCCGAGTTTAAGAGAAATTGAGCGTAAGATATACTTTTGCAGGTTCTGTGAAGTCATACGTAACCGTATCATCTTTAGTGTGTGATAATTTGGAGAAAAAGGGGTGCAGCCATGAATTCGTCATTTCCTAGTATTATATCTATCAGGTTTCAAACGTCATATTTGTAACAAATGTTGAACCGAACTCCCCCGTCAACATTCTAATTCTGGACAACTGCATTGCCATGAACAAATTTGATGACGCGTCCATTAAAATCTATCTTTAACAATCAAAAGGGAAATTGATTCGCTGTGGATTTGTAAGTTGAATTAACTGTTAATCTGGGGAGAAAAAGGGCCGAGCGGAGGGCCCGCTTGATCTGATAATTAAATAAAATGTACAGAAACAGTGCACATGGAAGATTCAAATTTGAGAGTTAAAATTAAATGACCCACCAACCCACCGCCGCACTTTATGAATAATACTTGAAACCAATAGCAGAGTCGCACACAACAAACAACCCTAGACAAAGACAGGTGACTCCCACACCATGTTCTCTGCTTTCCCCACCTGCACTTGCTCATGTCACCATTTACGACAGTTCCGAACTCTTTAATTTTTTTTCTTTTAGTCAAGAAAGGTAGGGACTTTAAACAATGTTTGAGTGCAAGATTCAAAGAAAGAGGAACTACCTTTGAATGATTGCTTTTAAAACAATTAGGAGTTTTCTTGTAAATATTAAAAGTACCCTCTAACCCAGGCAACTCAAAGGAAAATTTTAAAGATTAAAAAATGGGGGTCATTGTGCCTTCTCTTTCCTTCCACACCTGATCCGTGTGGGTGCTTTTGAGTTCATTGTCCTAAAAAAATGCCCTCGTACGACTGAAATTGATCAACAAGGCCACTAGATTTATATTACTTTTTTTTTTCTTTCTGAAAATATTAGACCCCACACCCACATACATCAACTGACACCCCTTTATGACCAAAAATCACAACTTATAAAATCATTAAAAGTTTTCATCAAACGGCAAAGACTGAATGCAACAGGTTTCATATCCCAACAATTACATATTTTACCCGTAATGACTCGTTATGGTGGATCAACCCACCGGGGAACAGAATCAGCAAGTGGTATATATATAAATATATAAAAGCACATAGAAATGCCTGCCTCTCGCATCAATAGCAGCTATGTTTTGCCTTCTCAAATAGAAAGAAAAACAAAGAGTCAAGATTCCTTGCCCTCTTTCAATGCCAGCTAGCCTAAAGCTGCTTTTGCCATTTGATTTGATACAAACAAATCTCTTTTTCTTTTTTTAATTTCAACTCCAACTCATATCATCTGCACTTCTTACGATGTTTATTAATGTCTTACAAGCAAAAGGATCTGATTTTGGATCCAAGACTCGATCACTTTTTTACCTTTTGCATTTATTGATGATACGTAAAGAAATCGACCAGCGCTGCGTTAAAAGAAAACTAAAAAAATACCGTATTGGCCCTTTTCAGTGGAGTTCACATCCATTAACCACTAAAGTCTTGAATTTTCATTTATGTTATTGTTCTCTTTACTTAAATTTAGGCTTAAATTTCCAAGCTTCCAAACACAAGAAAAGAAAAATTAAGTCAAACAAAGCATGAAGTTTTACAATTGAAGCAAAAGATTTGTATCTTCATTCCTTTGAAAGTATCCGACAACCAACATTACAAATCCTGTCTCGTTTCTTTCCAATTCCCATTCTTCAGTGCCCCAACAATATGTAAAACTTACAATAATAACGTCAAAAAACTAAAAAAGGTCGATTTATTTTAGTTTAAGAAGTAGAAGAACTTGAAACTCGAGGTGAAGTAACTGGAAAAAGTGGGAGAAGCCTAAGCCCCGAATCCCGCGGTGCAGATGCCGGTGATGGATGCAAATAAAAACCCTTCTCTTTAATTGCCTTGTCTTCAGCTTCCTTATCTAGCTGCGCATTATTATTGGGACAATTCGGGTAAATTCCAGCTCCAGATCGGTCAAACGGGTCGGATATCAAAGGAGTAACCGGGCTAAGAGCCAAAGAAGGGAAGTCAAGAATGCTGGGAGAGAGTATTTCGGGTTTCCGAGGCGAAAACCCGGAATTGCTGGAGTTGAAAGCCGGGTTCAAGGGATTGATTTTGAGGTTCTTGAGAGAGCTCCTTCGTTCGTAAAGCCTAAACCCAGAATTCTGCTTGTTTTTGGGAATGGATTTGATGGGAGGGATATGAGTTTTCGAGTTGGGGTTCGGTTCGGACAGAGGGGAAGGAGTTGGTTTGGTGGAAGAAGCTAGCTTGACCGTCTCGGAAGACCCGGTGAGCATCTGTACGACTTGCTTGAAAGATGAAGTGTCGGCTTGGACGAAGGTAGTCGGGTAGGGGTTAGCGGGTTCAGATCTGGTGATGGGTCTGGGCTGTTGAGGCGGCGGAGTTGGCGGTAGTGGGCAGCTTGTGCTGCTGAGGCTTTTCGGAGATGGAAGGAAATTCGGAGAGGTTTCCATTTATTAGATGTTTTGGGCGTTTAATCATTTGAAGGAAAGGAGATTTAAGAAAAAATTGAAATGAGGTGGATAGGTTAAGAACTGACTGAGGGGATTAGATTTGAAGAGGAAGAGTTTTTGGTACACCTTGATCCTAGTTTGGTAAGAAATGTTTCGGTGGGACTTTCGGCTCTCTTTTGTTCCCACTATTACCCGTTCCCCTAATTTATTGTTGTGGTGCGTGCTCTCATCATAAGAAATTTATTACCCATGTATATCCTCTCCCACACGCCATATGCATCGTCTTTCCCTTTTCTTTTGGATACTTGTATTGCCAAGCATATGTTTAATAAATAAAAATTGTACAAAAAAGTTTAAATTAGGGATGATTCTTTCGATCGAAGATTAGTGTACACACAAGTTTTTGTCTGGGTTATTATTATTATTATTATTATTATTATTATTATTATTATTACATTTTGTAAGCCCGAAAATGGAGCCCAAACAATAAAAGCCCAAATAGCCCAAATGGAACCCAAAATACAATCTGACCTGGAGCCTAGTATAGACCCAACCCGGTTACAAAAATCAACCCGTGATCCGACCTTGTTCAGCTGACCCAACCCAATTCACCTAGGGTTTCATCATAACCCTAGGTAGCTGCTATCGTCGGCGTTGATCTTACCACCGATGGGGTTTCTAACACCGCCGCTTCATCTACAATGACCACCTATGTTTTTCATCAGTCAAAAATCAGTCTAAAATACCAATAAAAAATAGGGTAAAGTATAGTAATGGTCACTGAATATTTCTGAAACTTGCATTTAGGTCTCCCAACATTTAAAACTTGCAATACAGTCCCCCAACATTTATTCCGTTTGCAATATGGTCCCCCAACTTAAACCACAGTTAGAAAATTAGGATAAATTATATAAACGGTCATTGAACTTTTCAGTCACTTGAATTTCGGTCCCCCAACTTTTAAAACTTGCAAAACAGTCATCAATTTCATTCTAAACCCCAATTTCCAAAGTAATTCAATTTTATTCTAAACCCTAAATTCTAAAATACTTCAATTTAAGGTAATATAGGCTTGAAGAAAGAGTTCAAGGCACAGACACAACGAATAAAAATATATTTATATAAATGTATATTTATATTTAGATGTATAAATAAAAAATATATTCATATATTAATGTATGAATCATTTATATTTTTTGAATATTTTATTTTTAATAAGAAATTAAAATTATTAATTATATTAGAAATACTCAACTTAAGATTATATATAATCATGAATTATAAATATGAAAATATAATTATTAAATTTAGTTTAAAATATATAAATCTTAAATTTATTCTTTTAAAATATTGTATCAACTAATATTTAAAAATATATTAAATCTATCAAACAATTTATCAAATATAATATTTTTTATTGTAAAAATATAATATTTTCCCATCATTTATTGCTTTCAAATTTTTTGCCGAAGTTCAAATCTCATTATTTCCATTTACATTATATTCTTTTTTTCTGGCATTGGTCATACTATTAGTATATGTATTATTGTATATCTCTTAACACAAACGATGGTGTTAGCTTAGTGGCTCCACCCTATATCTTTTATTTGCGTGACTCATGTATGAGTTTGCCCAAGACCCAAATTTTACTTCTTTGTAACTTAATTTTCTTCTAATTAGGAGGTGACATGTGTCACCAATAACACATATCATGATCATGTGTTAACACATGTCAGATCCTGATTAAATGATTAATTTATTAAATTTTATTTAATTTAGGACCAAATTAATAGCATATATAAATAATTAGGTGGTAACACGTGTCACCAATGACACGTGTCATGATCATGTGCTAACACATGTCAGATCCTAATTAAATGATTAATTTATTAAATTTTATTTAATTTAGGACCAAATTGATTATATAAATAATAAAGACTGAATGTATAATAATGTCAATTCCTTTTAACTGCCACATCATCATTTTTATCAATTGGTAACGACTAGTGGCTTAGTTGAAACAGTTAAATAATTATGTGGTATGATTGATAAATTTAAAAGATCGATGACAAAAGTAAAAAGGGCTAGATAGTTAAGTTGTCAACCGAGTAGTTTACACTTTTATTTATACGTCAAAATAACATTTTATAAATTTAAAATTCGAATTATTTTCAACCTCTTTTATATCCTAACTACTTTTTTTAATTAAAAAATTTCTTCAACAGATAAGAATTATACTATTATATTTATATAAAAAATATGTATCACATGTAATAAGATGAAATTAAATAATAATAACTTTGACATAATTGAATTTAATTTAAGTATTTTGGAATTTAGGGTTTAGAATAAAATTGAATTACTTTGGAAATTGGGGTTTAGAATGAAATTGATGATTGTTTTGCAAGTTTTAAAAGTTGGGGGACCTAAATTCAAGTGACTGAAAAGTTCAATGACCATTTATATAATTTATCCTAATTTTCTAACTGTGGTTTAAGTTGGGGGACCATATTGCAAACGGAATAAATGTTGGGGGACTGTATTGCAAGTTTTAAATGTTGGGGGACCTAAATGCAAGCTTCTGAAATGTTCAGTGACCATTACTATACTTTACCCTAAAAAATAAAATGAAATCCAAAGCAAAACCCAAGAAAATATGTGGTTATCAATCACCAAGCATCCATCAAACCATCACATGCAATGGGATTAAAATACAGAAGAAAAGAGAGATGAGGGAGAGCATTGGACGAAAAAAATAGAGAGTTCTCGGGGAGGGAAAACAAAATAGAGAGAAGAATCAAAAGAGAAATAGAGAAACAAGAGGGGGAAACTCATTCGAAAAAAATCATAGAATAAAAAAAAACAAGGAATCGAAAAGGTTTTACCTTTCGGAGCCACCACCGCCGTTGCTTCATCGGACCAGGGGCCCCTTATTTTCGAAGGTAAAGGTATGCTTTTTTTCTTTGTTGTGGGTGGGTGGATCGATTTTTAGGATCGTTTCAGAGGGAGGCAAAGGAGAAAGAGAGAAAAGAGAGAGAGGCTTTTGGTGTTTGAATCCCCGTGGCCACCAATCTATGGTGATCGTGGTTGTAGTTTTCCTCTTCGACAGTGGGGGAGTGGGGGGAAGTGGAGAGGAAACGGGAAGAGAGGCTGAGAAAGGGAGCTGTTGAAATGAGCTTAGGATTTTAAAATAACCCTTAGGGGGTGTTTGGTTCAGGTAATATGAGATTACCGGGGGAAAAGAATCTCATTCCCCCCGTTTGGTTGGTCAATATTCCCAGCCCCCGGTAATCTTTTATTACCAACAGTGGTATTTTGGGGTATATTACCGAGAATGTGATTACCCCATTTCCTTAGGTATTGTTGGATTGCCGGCGTTTTGGACTAAAATGCCCTTAAAAAATTTCTTTTAAAAATATCATTCTTCTGTCGTTGAATAAAAAAAATCTACGAAGGTTAAATTACAAATTTATCCTTAAACTATTTTAGATTTACAAAAAAATCCATAATTAGAATTTTATATGAAGTTTAGGGGTTAAAATAAAATTTTACCCTTTCATTAAACCTTTTTATCTTTTCAATTTTGTAAAAAAAATTATATAAATTTTATGAATTTAATTTTTTTAAAGAAAATATATAAATTAATTATAGTAAAATTATAGTAGATTTCAACTTGTTAAAAAACAAATATATAATAAGGACAATTTGGTAAAATATATATTCCAATAATCTTTTATTCCTTTAACCAAACATGGTAATCTTACATTCCTGCTAAACCAACCAAACACAAAATACAACATTCCCAGTAATATTATTCCCACTGGTAATCTCATTCCCACATGTAATCTTATATTCCGTGAACCAAATGCACCTTTAAATGGGTTATATCTCAGATTCCATACTACGTCGTTCTGGTAGGGGGGTTCAGTGTGTTTTCGGGTTTGGGTTAATAGCTGTTGTTGTCCTTATCGTTTTGAAATGTCACCCATGTTTCTGCTTTTTCAAGGGCTAATTGATGTATAAGTCCTTACTCATGTGTAATATCATGTTTTAGCCATTAATGAAAATTTGTGATATCTCGTTTTGGGCATCTATTGTTCTCTTTTTATATTTAAGTCCTTACCCTTTTGTATTACACCAGTTTCGTGGATGTTTGACTCAGGTCTCATATGTTGTAATCTTTTTATTTTAATCATTGAATAGAACTTTGAATCTTTTGATTTCCAGCTTCAAGTTTTGATTGCTTGTGTTTTAGTCATTATCTGTTCTTTAATATACATTTGGTTTAATGAATATTTTAGGCCATTGATTTATGATTCATTTCGCTTAGATCATGATCTGTATATTAATAAAATTATTAATATTTATGATTTGGTTCCTGAGTTTGTTGGGCTTTTGTTTTAGTCTTTAAATAATATTTTATGATAAATATTTATTTTGTGTTATGGATAAGATGTTTTAATTTGATTTTATTTTGATCATTGTTTGGGAATTATAAATGAAATATTAATGGTTTATGACATGTTTATGCTCGGGTATCTTATCTTTTCATAATTTAATCCTTTTTATCATTTAATTTTATTTTAGTTCTCTTATTTTGATTTAAATGCTTGATTAATACATTGTGTTTATTTATTTTCATATACATAGTATTAAATGTTTACTATTACATTAAACGACATGAGTGTATATGTTTAATGGGTTTTCCTTAATCCTTCCATGTTTTAAATATTAATAGTTTTTTATTTCATTCCTGTTAATTTAGTTTATGAATTAATCTTTTGTCGAAATTGTGCATATCTCCCATACTTGATTAAAATTTTATCAATTCATTCGAATATTTTTAAGAATAACGATTTGTAGAATGGGCCTGAAAAACATTGCTTGATCGAAGTAGTGCGATCTGGTACGACATTCAAACAAAATGTGAACTTGAAATTAATCGAATTTATTTTACTAATTAATTCATTTCTTATTTTAAGTCAAATGACGCAATGCATATTTCTCTAAATAGCAATTTATTTTATTTCATGCAAATGTCGATTTTCAGTTTATATTCGATTCACTTTTTATCGAGGAGGGAATATTCTTTTTAGATAAGAAATAGCAGAAATATCCTTCCCATTGGAGGATGTGCGAAT